AAACAAGTTTGTCAAGTACATTTTATTAAATCCATTTCTTTTGTAGTATTTCGATTCTAGTAATTGGACAAACTATTAACTCTTTTCCCTTACAAGTCCCTCCAACAATGTGATACTTACAATAGAGAACATTATAATACATGCAAGTTTCTGGCCATACAAGAGCCGTCGCTTTGTATTTAGCAATTTCAACGTTCAAAGCGTTCGAAGCACTCAATATCGTCGATATTGGCAAGTCTACTACATGATTATATTATCGTCACCTTAACAAACTTGCTACCGAGTTGCATTTTCCGTGACAATCAGTAAAAATCTCACTGGGAAGTCGAAGGAAATTCTCAGACGAGGTATAGAGACGTGGGACTTCTTATTAGTGACTCACAAAACTTATACTCTATGTCATCATGTCCTTTGCCATCGACAGTTTAAATATTTGACCTCAGTGCAAGAGTCTTTCGTAACCCCAGACTGGTATCTTTTATTACCTTTTTACTTGTACAACTATAAAATCAGAGATAGGAGATTTGAAGATTTCATATGTATGACATGTTTTACAATACTGGTGAGCAATGCGGGATTTGGCGGATTCGCCTAAATCCCGCATATAAAACACGCAATCGGGACATGACTCTGTGCCGACTCTCCTTTATGGCATTGTAGACAAAAAAAAACAAAGTAGACATAGTTTTATCAACATTGTATTTCTGAATGTGGACTTGTAACTAGAATATAACTAGTAATGCATTTTTATAACCTTACAACTTTTTTTCATAAGGTGGTAAAGATGAATTCATAGTCAGAGACGTAGCGTGCTTTGTCAGGGCTCTGTTTCAAAAATTTTTTGGGATCTTCCTTAATAAGAGTAAAAATTTTTTAGAAAATAAAAAAATGTATAAAATTAATAGAATCTTTATTCATCATCATTATATATGAATCTTTTAAAAATTTTACAAATTATTGCAAAATATATATTCACGCTCCTTGCATTTTTTAAAATTCCCGTAGGGTAGTTAAAGTAATGGGCCAAAAATCGAAAATGAAAATTTTTGCATTTCTCTACGTTTTGAAAGTTTTTGAACATTTTGCCACATCTTAGAAAAAATGGATGTGTGTGTGTGGGTTTGGTTTGTCCACGTTTTCGGGCGCACAGATCAACCGATTTGAATTATTCAAAAAATATTCAATTCGTAATGACGGCGAGAAGTGGTGATTAGTTTTTGGCAGAGGCAGGTCGAACTGTTTCGGAGATACGGAGCTAAATGTGTAAAAAATTGCAGTTTTTGAGAGAACTAAGCGTCCGATTTGAATGATTCAAAAAACTTTCTGCTTGTGCTGATGAAACAATTGCTTTTCGGAAAAAAGTAATTTTTTTTTAATTTAAAAAAAAAAAAATTGAATATAGAAAAAATTCGGATTTTCAAACTTTAAATTTAGTACGTAAAGTTTCAGCAATTGGCCTCAAGGCACGATGCCATAACCACTAGTTTTTTTTTTTAAGTTTAAAAATATGTACAATATGTTTTTTAAAAAACAACAGCAGTTTTTATGCTTATGTATTCGACCAGATTGATTTCTGGTTGAAATCTGGCTAAAATATAATATTAATAGAACGAGTTGCATTAAAGTTGCTGCAACTTTTTGGATTATATTTCGGGAAAGATGTGGAATCTAAAAACCGTTTTTTCAGTAATAAATACCGGTCATTTGGATATGACAAATGTATCTAAATATATCAAATTCATAAAAACATTGTTGCAAATCGATAGCCGATGTAATAAATGTAATATTTAAATATATAACAATCTTTACATATAATTTACATATATTATAATATCTATAATAAAAAAAATGCAAACCTTTATATGTAAAAATCAGGCTTAGTTACTTGATCTTGGTCTATTATTATTTTTTCGTTCTACCAAATTGCACGGAAAAAAATATTATTAATGAAATAGAACAGTATATAACTTCAATCAAAACTGCTTTTAATTACTCGAAAATTGATCGAGAAATTTGGTTTTTTTTGTGTAAAAAATCGAAACCGATTGAACCGGTTCTAAAATATCCGTTTTTGTATAAACCCTACTTTATATACAAATATTATTTCCGTATATTATTACTAAATTTTGTAATAAATATAATAATAAAAATTCATCAAGTTAAGTTAGTCTAAATCAATAAAACATTAATTGTGAACTTCAAAATTGATTAAATATAAAAAAAAACAAATGTCTAAAACTTGAGCAAGTTTACAACTTTTGAAATTTTGAGAAATCTTCGATATATAGGTCAAAAATAACTGACAATCAGTTTATCAGTTTATATTAGAAATCTTATAGATATTTTGCAATTTTATATTCCATAGTATGGAACTCTAAATAGGTTTTATATACCTATAGACAAACTATATACATATACCTGTAAAACCACAAACATAATCTTATCCTTCAGGAATGTTAAGAATATATAGAATGATTTATTCTGTATTTAATCATAAAGCTATATACTTTTATATTTTCATACATTTTTTTTTAAAATAATTAATTTGTTGCAGGTAAAGCAATTTTCTCTTTCCATTTAATTACGCTTGAATTTACATTTCGTAATTAGGTTTGTTTTTCATGTAATTAAATTTTCGCATAGAGAATATTAACACTGTTTTGCAAATGCTAGCTATTGGATGCAATATTATATATAATATATAATATCTATAATATATATTTATATATATATATATACATATAATGAGACTTTTTCCCTTAATATTCCCCCACAATGGAAAGCAGTGCTTATTGTTTCGAAAAAAATTCGCAAAAACAGTCTTGAATTTAACTCTCCGATTTTATTCTCTTATTGCCGACACATTAACATAATGTACAAGTTCTATTTTATTTCTGAGAAGATGCTGTGCGGTATAAAAAGTATTTTTTGCCAACTTACAATCTCGCAGTAAAAGTTTAGGTATTATACACTCCTTAATAGAGAAATATGCGGCTAAGAGTTTTCATTTTTCATCTAGAGTTTGGAAAATGTTTTTATGGGTGTACAATATATTGTAAAGTAAAGATGGTATAGAGTAAAGAAAAATGATTTTTCATATACAATCCGTGTATTACACACACAAACTTGAAATGACGCAGTACTAAAATCCTCAACAAAATTTGTAATCTAAAATTAGTACTAAATAATTAATTTATTATTACCGTTTTATCTCTCAGCATTCCGACTCTGCAATTTAATTCCCCATTCGAATCCTTGTAAAAGGACACGTTGACGGCTTGTCCAGAATTTGCGACTTCTGGTTCTTCAAAAAATGGTCCATAATGGTGTTCATGATATTGGTTCAGTCTTAGCCTGTGACGAGGCATTTCTGCAACAATAATAAAAGTTATACATGTAGTAAAATATATAAATTATATAATAAAATATATTATATAATTAAATATTATATATAAATATATTTGAGAAGAAATTGACAGGAAATGTCATATAGCGCTAGTAAAATATATATTGATTTGTCAATCGATAACAAGATGACCAATGATGACGGTAAATTTAAAAGGAAAATAAAGAAATATTACAAGAAAATTGAAGATGATATTTTAATTATAATAAATATTATATTAATGAAATGATCAAATAAATGTATATATTAAATATGAAAACTGTTTTCATAATCTATCATATCAGGCACCCCTGTCTGAATGAGATTTGAAAATTTCAGTAATAGAAAAAAAGAATATTTGAAAATACTTGGCTAATGGTAAGGAAAAATTAGGTAAACGTAAAGTTCGTTTAAAGGAAAATTGCTGGAACTTCCCGTGCCAAAAATCAAAAATGAGATTTGAGAAAATTTTGAAATTTTTGAAAAAAATTGACTTTTTTGAAGAATTAGTTTTTTTTAATATGAGTACTATCCTTTTTATACTTTGAATTTTGATGAAAATTTTGAACATTTTTCAAAGCAATGCTGCGTGACTGTTTTAGAGAAGAAATATCAAAGCGCGTAAGCGCCGCGTCGCAATATAACGGATAAACATTGGTACGGAACTCATAAAAATTTAAACAAAATTTGAAATGTGAATTATAGAAATCTCTATAAAATATCGGATAATTTGATGTGCATATGTCTAACGATTTATTTTTTTCCGCCAAATGGCATTTTTTCCACTATTTTTATTGGATCTACGAAACCGTTGGACCTGCCTTCCCAAAAATTTGAACAGTACTTCATGATGTGAATACAAATGAAATGTTATTTTTAATTAATTAAATTGGACGCTTCATTCTCTCAAAAACTAAATTACAACTTTTGTCACTTTTTGTCCCGTATCTTTGAAACGGCTAAACCTGCCTTTGCCAAAACTAATCAGCATGAATTTAATTACCCAAATCGGTGGATCCGTGTTCCCAAAATCGTCAACAAAAATTTGTATCCGCACACACACATACATCTTTTTTTCCAAGGTATGCAAAAATACCTCTGAAACGCAAAGATATATAAAAAAATTCATTTTTTTGTGATTACTAATACTTACCCTAGGGAAAGTTAATTATAGCAGTAATGCTCAACAATAAATAAATAATGCATTTTTTAAACATAAATAATTCTATTGATTTATTATGAATGTTGTTGAATGGGTCAAAAAAAATGAAATCACTCAAAAATTCTGTAATTGACCAAAGTGATCAAGATGATACAGTATCACTTGTTTAAGATGCTAATTATTATCATCATTATTCATTTTCAAAAAACAATTAATTTATGAATAATTGAGCAAGTTGTTGGTACCAAAAATTACATTTTATTTCACAAGTAAAAAGATGAAACCATTAAATTAGTAACTTGATTGATATCGTTCAATACTATTTAGTAATGAATATTAAGTTGGATAACATGTTTTGACTTTATCTGATATAACATATAGGTAAATTGTCGTATTATCTATGATCTAAGTGACTAAAATATATAATACAAAAGATGCTATTTATAGGTACAAGGAAAATACGTAATAAAATATTAATAACGTGTCTAATATTTCCATTTTGGTAATGAGGATAACGATGATGAAATTGTTTTGATCTGACCACGATAACATGTCAATAAAGTATGTATATATATATAAATAGGTTATGAATGAAATTATTCAAACTATAGCAAATGACTCTATGCAAAATTATCTTATGAAAAAATCTAACAAGTTACTAAATTGACTATGAAATCGTTGTTAATATGACAAAAAATCGATCAAGTCTAAATTCTATTTTTGATTATTCTAAGGATTCCATGTTCGCAAGTGAATTTGCACAAACAAGACGATCATTTCCATTTCTTTCTAAAATGTGTGTAACATTGTACACTAAAATTACCAAGAAATTTACATTTTATTTATATATATTTTTAAACCAAATGACTATGTAAAATTATCTTATCAAAAAATCTAATTAAATTACTAAATTGACTATGAAATCGTTATCAATATGACAAAAAAAAAACTATCAAGTCGAAGTTCTGTTTCTGATTATTCCAAGGATTCCATTTTCGAAAGTCTATTTGCAAAAACATGACGATCATTTCCGTTTCTTTTCAAAATTTGTGTAACATTGTACAATATGTACAAGAAATTTATATTTTATTTATACCCACAATTTATACCAAAAAAACTTGTATTCAAATTATCTGAATAGAAACTATTTGTCATAAGTCTTATAAGGTGAGAAATAATGAGAACTTATAAATAATTTTTAAACTAGCTGTAAGTGGAATTCTGTCTTAAGGCAATTAGGGCATCGTGCCTTAAGGCAAATTGCTGGAACTTCCGTACCAAAAATTATTATTTTTTTAAAAACGATTAACATTTTTGAAAAAAATTTAATTAAAGAAAAATATATTTGAGAAACTACAAATTTGACAAAAAATTACTTTTTTTTGAAAAAAAAAAATTATATGAAAAAAAAATTTTTTTTTGAAAAAAATTTTTTTTTTGGATACAAAAAATTTTTTTGAAAAAAATGTTTTTTTCATTTTGACATATTTTGGAAATTCTGAACTTTTTTTCAAAGCAATCGCACTGCTTGAACTGCATAGAGACGAAATGTCAAAGCGCGCATGTGCCGCGCCGCCGTCAAACGCATAAGCATTGGTACGGAACCCATAAAAATGTAAAAAAAAAATACTTATTGTTAAAATCTCTATAAAATATCTGATAATTTGATGTGCATATGTCTAATGATAATTTTTAACCGCCGAATGGCATTATTTTTTACTTTTTTCATGAGATCTCCGAAACCGCTAGACGTGCCTCCATGAAAATTTGATTAATTCTACATCTTGTCAATACAAGTAAAATGTTTTTTGAATTATTCAAATCGGACGCTCCGTTCTCTTAAAAACGGAGGTACCGTTCTTGGCACTTTTTGCCCCGTATCTTCGGAACGGCTAGACCTGCCTTTGCCAAAAACTAATCAGCACGTCTCCTTATCAATGCGAATCGAATGTTTTTTGAATTATTCAAATCGGTTGATCCGTGTTCCCGAATCGTCGACGAAAATTTGTATCCGCACATACATACACACACATACATACATACATACATACATACATACATACATACATACATACATACACACACACACACACACACACACACACACATACATCCATTTTTTCTAAGGTATGCCAAAATGTTCAGAAGGTTTTGAAACGTCGAGAAATGCAAAAATTTTCATTTTCGATTTTTTTGCGATTACTATAACTTACCCTACGGGAAGTTAAAAATTTAAATTTTTTTTAAACGAAATTTTATTTATATTATATTTATACACACAAAACTTGACTATTATTTCCATCATAAATGATATATTTCGGATGTTCCCAAACTATTTCGCAAAACTCGAGCCATTATGCGGCGGAATACGTAGGTAAAAATTAAGAAGTTTTATTCCTTATGGCAGCGTTCTTTAAATTTTGCTTAAACAACTTTTATTACGACTTTTGTTTCTGGGTTATAATCTTATTTATTATGCAATTGCTGTGGTTATTTCGGTAAATTAAAGGACATTGAAATTTATTTTTATTTACAAAGTTTCTACATAATTTTTTAGCATTCGGATGTACAATTAATTAATGTAAACTAAAATTTATTATTTGAGGAATAATTATAGTTTATCTAGGGAAAACATACTTTTTCTTTAGGTAATTAACAAACAAAAGTTTCTATAAAATCTATTTCACTACTCTAGCACCCCTTTCGCCAATTGAACAAAAATTGTTGTAAAAACATTAAATGCTGAAAATATTCGACATCTACCTAAGCACATAATTTTTTATCAGTAACAATATTTAAGCGAGCCATTTTTACGGCCTTTCCTCCCTATAAAGAATAAGATTATATAGGAGTTCAGCAGATAAGGTATTGTCGGGTTAATCTGCAACGAGGTATCAACCCTCGTTTTTGGCTTTTGGCCAAGTCAGGGAGAAAACTCGTTTCTTTTCTAACTAAACTTGTGCACAATGATATCTTTCTTATGGAAAATGCAATATTTTTCAGATAAACCCAAAATGAAAGAAGCATTCTCTTCAAGAGTGCATCTTGAAAAAGAAGAAAAAAATCATTTAAATAATATGTTGTTTATCTTGCACAAGAGAGAAACAAAATATTAAACAATATTATATTTATATATATATATATATATATATATATATATATATACTCGTATATTTAAACAAGGTCATTTTTAAAACGATTCGTTCTGAATTATATTTTGTTTGACTCACCAAAGACAAGTGAGAGATGACATTTAAAAAAAATTTCAACAAATTAAATTCCAAATAATTGATAATTTTATATCTTATATATAAAAATGGAGCTCTCGATCAAATGATTCGGTAAAACTCGAAGACGACTAAACCGATTTGGCCAGTCTTAGTCTTGAAAAATTCGTGCTAATCAGTAGGTTGTCGAAAAGGTGAGATATTATTTCAAAATCGCGTAGAATCTTTACATTTTTAATTTGAATTTTTTTGTAAAAGCGTAATTTGAATAAAACAATGGACGTCATATGTCAAACGTTTTTGACAGATGATGTTCAATTACGTGTAATATGATGTTTTACGTGAATATTATTCAATTATGATTAAATTGTAGTAAGTAGTTTTGTTTGTAGTTTTATTTATATACAAAAACGTTAGTAAACGCTTACAAAAGTGTACAGATAATTGAATAATTGCTTACAAAAAACCATACATAATCGAGACTCTAATGTGCGTTTGTGGAATCAAAGAAATGTCTTACATTTCAATCAAGATATAGAAGCGAATATGGAATCGGACAGTAAACCATCAGAAATCCCAAAACTACGAAAGACCGTTACTAGAGACTCAAAATATCAACTTTTTTAAAATATTAATATGAAAATGCACTTTTTGGCAAATTTTTCTCAAACACGGTGCTCTGGAAGATCTCATTTATATAATTATACACTCATAGGTATCTATAAAACATTTTCTAGGTTATATTATTTTTTATTTGTTATTTAAATTCAGAACCTAAATTTGGTATCGATCAAATGGATATTTTGTCGAATAACATTTTCCTAATTATAATTTCCCAAAATTTATCGAAGAATAGATAGTAATATAGGAAGGTCCGGGGTTAAAAAGGTCCGGGGTTAAAAAGGTCCACCAGCAATGTGACAAAAATCAGTAAAGTTAAGCATTGTTTAACAACAATATTTGAAAGTAGAGGAAAAAAGATGTTTAACCAGCTATAACCTTGATTAGAGAACGGTAAACTTTGAAATGGGGGAGATTATCGGTAATCTTTGAAAATCCATAATAAAAGTATTGTCTTCCGTTGGTAGGTTTTTAGCATTAGTTTTTAGCATTTATAATTAATATTTGCTCAAAGTCAAATTGGACCTTTGTGTCTCGCCCTATTCTGCATATATACTTTTTATTAAATTTACTTTAATTCATCGAATGTGAACACTTAATTCATTTTCTATATTCTCTCCTCGCAGAAATTTGAAAATTTTGTATAATCTCAGTAGTATTATTTACAATTATACACAAAATCCAGAATTCAAAAAGAGTCTGAAAAATTTGAAACGTAATCGATAAGTCGAAAGACCAAAAAGACTTGGATTGAATTCTACCATGTTTTCTGTAGAAAGTGTATACAACTTCCAATACAATCGTATTGACAAAATACAGACAAATTAATGGGGTTTATTGTGTTGATAATATCTCATTGTATATAGCATTCAAACAACACATCCTTATACACTCAAAGTATTAATATTTTTGATTCTCTAGAAATTGTTTAGATTATACCTTATTTAGCAAAACAACGTTTGCCGGGTCAGCTAGTATAATATATAAGTACTATTCGTCTTGTTCATACTATTTTTGTAAATTTGAATGAATCATGATTCTGAAAACCGTCTCTGAGTCGTATTCGTCAGAAATGTCAAAATAGGAGCTATATTTATAATTTTTCACGTGATCAGTGATAGTTTAATTCTGATTCATGTTTTTGGAATTATTGTAATGTTCTTGCAGTCTTTTTGAATATGAACTGAATTTTTTAATACTCTCTATAATCTGATCCGGATACATAATTCTCGTTGTATTATTTACTAATTCAATATACTAGTTTCATATATCAGAAAGTTGGTGCAAATTGTCAACAAGCACAAGCAAAACGCCACATGCAGAACTAATTCAAATGCACATGGTGAAATCAAATAAATAATTTAATATGTCCATTAATTCAAACAGAATCCTATGTTCATCCAACATGATGATATAAATTAATTATAAGTTAAACATATTATTCAGTTGTACAGTGTTAGTTTTGAGTTTTTGAACTCATTAGGAACTCCATATGCAATTGCAATGGCAGTCGCAGTAGCTACACATTTGTTAATAGAAATGGAGAATTTCATTTTGCACTGAAAATAATTCAGAAACGAACAAACAAAGGAACATAGAAAATAGGACAAATAATTGTTGGAGGAATACTAAATAAATTTACAAAATATGGCTTTAGAATAATAGATATTTGGGATAAAGGAAATGCACTATCATTATAAAGTATAAGTACTATCAAAAAATTTAGAATTCATATCACAACAAAAAGTTTTAGAAAATTTTGGGCAATTGTGTCATTATTTTTAAATTGCGGTTCCAAAGTTTAAACAAACAAAAATAATAAAAATTAAACATAATAATCGAAAAATGATCAAAGTTTGACCAAAGCTCTATGTTGCATTTGAAAGCTCATAATTTTCAAGCTACATGAAATAATTTCTTTTTCTAATTTTTTCCCTGACTGTCACACCGTTGAGTTCTGGGACACTCTTTACTCTTTACACTTTGAAACAAAATCTTTATTTTCAAATAAAATTGAATCTATGTAATACATATAATATATTATTTATATTTTGTTAAACAGATGTAATTCAGGGAAAAAGTTATTATTTATAAATATCTTTATAAAAAAGCTGGATATTAAATATTTATGTTATCACATCCATCAGAACAAATAAGTTTTCAAGGCTTTTCTTGATCCTGAATTTAAACTCATGTCAGATAGTTTCTGAGAAATAATTTTTACTTCAGCATTTAATTTTTTTATGATGAAGATTTTCATGAAAAAAGTATATAAATTAATTTTTTTTCGAATATAATTATAATAATCGCCATTGATTATCACGAATTCGTAATTTCTCTAATAAGGTAATACTATTAATGACCTAGCAGGACTATTAATTCTAATCTCATTTTTAAAAGTCCAAAATATTTAATTTTTAGTATTAAACACCATTTTACTAATGTACTGCCTACAAATAATATTTGATATATCTTTTCTTTCGACAGTTCCATTTTATACTATTTCTAATATTTTTCTATTAATAATTATTATAAAATTTCATTTTAAGTTTTTTATTTTCATACTTTGATTCTCTTTTTGATAATGCCCTTATTTATTATTTTTCAGATTTGGGAGTTTAATATTTTACTCTTAAAGATTTTTTTCACTGTCAGAAGAATCTCAAGACATTTTTTCACCTATTTTGAATATTGAATATTCTATTATCATGTTTTAAACAATCATAGATAAAAGAAGTATAAAGAGATCGCAAACACGACCGCTTTGGAATTACTACAATTTTAATTGTTTTCGCCCTCCATAGGGGCGCCACTAACTACAGCACGTAAATTTACCAATAGGTTTAAATCTAGATAAGTGTTACATAAATGTATATCATAAGAAAGAAAAACCTGAATAATTTGTAGAAACCTGAATAATTTCACCTAAATTACAAATATGTTAAAAAAATAGCTTTAAAAGTACGTGCATTATAATGAGAGAATCACAATTATAATATTCGATATAACTTTTTACTCAATAGGTAATTTTTTCCAATTTTTCCTAGTTTTTTATTAAAAATTATTTTAACATTTGCTCTTAAAGTTTACTTCAATTTTAATTGTTTCTACACTCTATAGAGTGCGCCACTAACTATAGCACGTAAATTTACCCCTTAGGATTAATTCTAGAGCAGATTTATTATACAATATCTAATACAAAAAATACGTTCCTGATTAATTAAAATAAATGAAATAAGAACAAAATATACTCATTTAAAATAAATTTTCAAACTGAATCACAAATATATAATAAAAAAATATTAAACATTTGAAGTACGTGTATTAAAATAAAAAAATAAGAGAATCAGTTGTTGAAAAAATGTGATAAATTTAGGCACATTAGACCCTCTGTTGAATGCGAGAAACACTAAAACATGGTAAAGCACAATTGTTCTGTGTTATAAATATTTAAAAATACCTTTGAGTCATTTCAAGTTGAACAGATTTTTCACTCCCACGACTATTTTCCAACGATATTTTAAAATTCATCAGATTGCATACTGTATTTGTTAATGTCGGAGATAAAACTAATGCCCTGATAGCTAGAACTATTTGTTTGCATGAAATGACACTGTTTTATTCAGTGTTTTTCTTGTCTGCAAAAAGCTACAGAGGGAACAAAACAAGGATAATGTGTTCTCTAACAGGACAGCATATCTGTTTCGAAAATCTGAATTGCATTTCTAGATAAATGTAAAGAGCGCGATTTTCTATACAGCTAATAAATGATACAAAACGATTTTTAAACGGTTGTGAAATATTTAATAATTTTCGTATTTTTGTGTGTATAACTCATAACATCTGGTACATTCACCTTACTTTCAACTTTGAGTAGTTTTTTTTAGAGAAAAAATGTTAAATTGAAATTTTGTACTAAAATTATTTCAAACAAAAAAGTCCTGTTTATCCTATTTTGGTATATTTTTTTTAAATTTTCAGCTGACATGTCCACAAATGGTTTTATTTAACATTGGACGATAAAAAAGTTTAGTACAGAAGAAAGTGTAAGCAACAAAAGGTTTGCAGTAAATGCCTTAAACTCTTTGGACAAAAATGTTGTCACATTTTTCATGTAATGACATGTTATGATGTTAAATGTAATGTTACATATACATTTGTAATTCAAATGTCCCGCCATTATTATTAGTGATGTTGGTAATGGTGTTTCCTCCCGCCATAAACTTGTATCCGCCATTTTAAATTCTCGTTAATGTAAAAATATTTAAAATAAACTCTCTTACCTCTAGATCGCAAAACATGCAACAACTAAAATAAATTGGTATATTTTGAAGAAAGCATTTTTATTTTTTCCACTCTTTTGTAAAAAGTTTTAAAAAACTCTTTCTTGTATCAGATTACATCATAATAAATTTAATAAAAATCGTTGACTAGAATAACAAAAGAATAATGTATTTTGTGTGAGTAGATTATATATTGTGAGAGACAAATAGTGACATAAAAATAAATATTGTAGAGGGTATAACTAGAGACAATAAACGTGTAATTGTGTGTAAATAGAGACGAACGAAAGTTAACAATATATATATATATATAATATATATATATATATATATATTTCTTCAAATATTTTACCTGTTATTGTGATTTCAGGAAAAGTAACCACAGGTGGCCTGGTGACTTCTTCTGTGGTTGTTGGTAAAGTGGTTGTGTACTGCGTCGTCGCATTGTAATCGGTTATGGTCAAATCTAAAAAAAATAAAAAAATTACAAATTAACATTTATATATTTTTAGAAATCGTAAACATCTGATATCCTTAAAAATCAATATATTTTCTAATATATTATGTAATTTTATGAGAAAGGAATTCCTAAAAAAAGCCTAAGCATAACTTTCTCTATTTTATAATTAAACAATTTCTCGTAGGCCTATAACATTTTAAGGGTTTTGTTTTGACAATCGAGATTATAATCATGCAAATACAATCATTCGTCCTCGATGAGAAACCTCGAGATTCTCGTAAGTCGATATTTCAATTTTTGTTTAAAATTTCATTGGCTTGAAATTCACTTTCTAGCAATAGTTTTTTATGCAAATTTTCTTAAATTGACCTAAGTGATTTGAATCGACATATAAATTGATAACCGATAGAAATCTTTCACTTGTCGTATAAGTATAATAATTACAATAAAATTTATTAAATTAATAATGATTGAAAAATTACAGAGAATTAACCGTTACGAAGTGTAACTCAGTTTTCCTATGATGATACAAGAAAGTATATAACCACTCTCCACGTAATGCTATTCAACGTATTCCAGAAATATTTTCATTGCAAAATTTCTGTACATAGAATTAATCTAAAAGTGAATTAAAAAATCTTACATTTCTCTCAAAAATAACATCCAGCTGTACCCGAAAGCAAATGATTTTGTTTTTGTAATTTCATGCATGAAGAGCATGTCAAAGAATGTAATACTGTGCTCGGATTAAGAAAATATATTTGGAATTTTCATATAATATTATGAATCTATTTTTCTTATTTTGGTAATAAGATTTATGAATTTTATTTTAAGCGCTTGTCCAGTATGTTATTGAGAAAA